CAAGAGAGGAGTGTTGGAGTCATTGAAACATTTATAGCCATGTTGATTTTCCTTTCATTGGTCTAAGATTTTTACCTTCCAAAATGTGGAGCTTTCTTTTTTAATTTAAATTCTTTAATTACCACTCATATTTACATATTCATCCCCCATTCCCTCACCCTCCCATCCTCCCATGTTCCCCACCAACCCCCCCAACCCATCCCCCAACTCCTCCCCAGGGACAGTGAGGCCTTCCACCAGGGACCTTCAAAGTCTGTCATATCGTTTGGGGGAGGGCCCAGGCCCTCCTTGCTGTATCTGGGCTGCAACAGTATCCCTCTATAGGGAACGGGCTACCAAAGTTCATTTGTGCTCTCAGGTTGAAGACTGGCTCCACTGTTAGAGGTCCCCTAGACTGCCCAGGCCTCCTATCTGGGACCCACATTCAGAGGGATTGGTTCCGTCCAGTGCTGGTTCTGCAGCTTTATGACTAGGGTCTAGTGTGGAGCTTTCTTATACCAGGTGCATAAATACTTAGGATTCTTAATCTCTCTTGGTGATTGATGTTTTTGTCACTACAAATGATAATGTCATTTGCTCTAAAACCCACCTTGGCTGATGATAGTCATATTCTTAGCATGGCCTCGCTGTGTAAGATTTTGTGTGTTGTATGCATGTGAACCTGAGGGCAGCACACTTTCACTTCCTGCCCCAGGCCTTTGCTGTCATGTCATAGTTCACATCTGCATACATGATAAATTCCAGAATACACTTGCTTTATGGGTTTGGTTTGTTGGCTTGTTGGTTTGTTTGCCCTTGACAGAAAAGTAATTTTTAAGTAAATTGCATGAATTAGGGGCCATGAACTTGTGTTGCACACATTAGAATTTGCATTGCTCTTTGTCCTGTTTTATAGGTCAGGATCTCTATCTGGTACCGTGTTCTGCCTGCATCACTTCCTTTAACTTTCCTCGTATTGCTGATCTGATGCTGATGAGCTCATTTCGTTCTTGTGTCTAAAAAGTCTTCTCTTCCTTCATCTTTGCTGTTCAAAGGCGTTTTTTCTGAAGAGCAGAGGATTCTGAGTTGACAATGTGTTCTTTCATGCCCTGGTTTTATGTTGATTCACTGTCTGAGGACTTGCCCTGCTTCCAACAAGGGCTTCTCTGTACAGCTTGCCTGGTTCTGCTGTAAGAAATGTGTTTCTGACTTCTCTTCATGCCTAGTTGTAAGCAGAGGAGGTCTTGAAGGACTTAGGTATACTTTTCTTCTTATACTTGAGCTTCTTAGGATTCTTAGATCTCTGGATTTACATTTTTATTAAATCTTAAAGCTTTCCAACTGTTAAATTTTCTGTTCACTGCTTCTCTGTCTATGACTCCTCTCTTCCTCCCCTCCTTTTCTCCCTGTCTCTCTCTCTCCCAGAATAGGGTTGAGTTGGCACCATTACTAAGAAAGTACCCTCTGAGTATTCAATCTATTGCTTCGTGTGTTTGAGGCTTCTTGCACTGGTCCAGCCCTGTGCGTCTACAAAAACAGTAGCTTCCCCCCAGCCTTGGAGGGCTTTCTCACAAACATCAATGGGCAGCTAAAGGTACCCCTGGTGCTCTGGCTATGTAAAACCTGGTCTCTTTCCCTCCAGTCTTTACCTGTCTCTGCACCTGCAAACACTGGGCTTCCCATCCTGCAGCCTGGCTGTTAAGGCAGGTGATTGTCAGAGTCACTTTATTTCTCTTTTCTTGAGGGTCACTGTTCTGTGTCACCTGTTCCCCAAAGCCTAGGGTCAGTCTAGATCTGTATTACTCCACTGTGGGCTGTGGCAGTCAGTACACTGACCTGTGTATTGTTTGTTAGAGAAAATCCTTTCACAGAAGAATGCACTGTGGAGAGCATATGAAGTGCAGCTGCGGGGAAGGTCACTGGTGTGCCCAGGAGACAACCCTGTTCTCCTAGCGGGGATGGTCACTGGTGTGCCCAGGAGACAACCCTGTTCTCCTAGCAGGGATGGTCACTGGTGTGCCCAGGAGACAACCCTGTTCTCCTAGCAGGGATGGTCACTGGTGTGCCCAGGAGACAACCCTGTTCTCCTAGCAGGGATGGTCACTGGTGTGCCCAGGAGACAACCCTGTTCTCCTAGCAGGGATGGTCACTGGTGTGCCCAGGAGACAACCCTGTTCTCCTAGCAGGGATGGTCACTGGTGTGCCCAGGAGACAACCCTGTTCTCCTAGCAGGGATGGTCACTGGTGTGCCCAGGAGACAACCCTGTTCTCCTAGCAGGGATGGTCACTGGTGTGCCCAGGAGACAACCCTGTTCTCCTAGCAGGGATGGTCACTGGTGTGCCCAGGAGACAACCCTGTTCTCCTAGCAGGGATGGTCACTGGTGTGCCCAGGAGACAACCCTGTTCTCCTAGCAGGGATGGTCACTGGTGTGCCCAGGAGACAACCCTGTTCTCCTAGCAGGGATGGTCACTGGTGTGCCCAGGAGACAACCCTGTTCTCCTAGCAGGGATGGTCACTGGTGTGCCCAGGAGACAACCCTGTTCTCCTAGCAGGGATGGTCACTGGTGTGCCCAGGAGATAACCCTGTTCTCCTAGAGGGATGATCACTGGTGTGACCAGGAGATAACCCTGTTCTCCTAGAGGGATGATCACTGGTGTGCCCAGGAGATAACCCTATTCTCCTAGCGAGGATGTCAATGGTGTGCCCAGGAGACAACCCTGTTCTCCTACCGGGGATGTCAATGGTGTGCCCAGGAGACAACCCTGTTCTCCTAGCGGGGATGGTCTGCAAAGAAGGGAACCCAAGAGAGCAGACATGAGAGCCGCAGGGCTCTTGAGACCTGCCTGGGCCTCCCTCAGGCCTCCAGCACAGCAGCAGGTCCTACACTCGACAGGCATTTGCTGAGCATCCACACGTCAGCCTGTGTTCTAGAGCTGGGATCTATGTAAAATGACACATTTACTTCTCTGAATGCCCATGCAACTCATCCCACACCTGGACTGCTTTGTACATGTCCATTTCCTTCTGTCTTCTCTTTCTCTAGTTTATAGGACCTTTGCACAGTAGCTTGTTCTTATTTATGCAGCAAGTTGTCATATCTCTTTTATTGTAATCTTGTATTACATTTTGTGTGTGTGTGTGTGTGTGTGTGTGTGTGTGTGTGTGTGTGTGTGTGTGTGTGTGTGTGTTTGTGTGTG